CTAAAGTGTGTAAGTTTTGGAGTTGAGAAATACAAGTTTCTTTTTATTCACTTCCTTCTTCCTATTGGTATTATCCTCCTTAGCCTTAACCAATCTAAGTTAGTAAACTCCTCTTTCCTCCAACAATTTTTGGTTCAGTGTCCCAACTGTTTATGGTGGAGATTCATCCCCACAAAGGAGAAGTATGAGCAAATAAAAGAAATAATAGAGGAACAACCTTTCCTTTGTGAAATGGCTCATGAATGGTGTCCTGAAATAACAAACAAGCCAATTATTCCTCAACTTCCTTCTAGCTGACAACACAAAGCTGAAGAGGCACAAAATTTTCCAATGTGTATTACATGGCTCCATCAGGCAAGTGGTTACAAACAATGGGCAAGTTGAGTGTTACATAATACATGGGCGTATTCTCAATTCTTGCACCATTGAAAGAAAATTACATTCGAAAGTACATGACATGGCTGACGCTATGATACCATTCCTACATCTTTGATTGCTCCAAAAAAGATTGGAGATTTGCACTTTTGGGAGGATTGGGACTCACATTCAGAGGTTAGGCGCCAATAATTCCTGCTGAAAGTTCTGTATTTTGGTGGCATACTTTACAACAGTTCATAATATAGCCTATAATGTGTAAGATATGTTTGTTGTCTAGATTTCTGTACTAAAACCCCTGAATTTTTTTTTTTTTTTTTTTTTTTTTGTGTGTCTTTCATAAGTACATATACCGTATAGAATGTAAACCATCCATTTTGTCTTCATCTTTTTCGTCAAGATTTATGCCAACAGTGCAACTTGCATACACATAAGTAGAAGAGTACCTATACATCATCCCTTGAAGCATCTACACGATGAAATATAAATAAAAACCTTAAATTTACTACTACTTTGAATATTAACAAATAAAACTCCTCAAGCTATGGCTCACAGCCAACACCAACAAGTGAGCATCACGAGTCATGGCTACAATTAATGCAAACATCAAACCTTTTGAATGAAGGCACGCCTATAGTTTTTAACTACGTACCTGAAAATGAAAACTCTATGCCAGGAGTAAAAGATGATTCCATACATTGCCTTGTACTATTCAGCATCAAGACTTCAAAGAGCCCGAAATCATCCTATAGAAGCATTACCTTGTTCGTTAAGCAGGCACACAAAAGACTTGCAAATGGATCCCTAAAGTTCCGTACAAAACAAAAATGGGACTCAGTTGTGAGGCACATTTGCTCTGATCAAACTATTAAAAGGATGTTTTTTATAAATCCAATTCCCACCACTCCCATCAATATACCGAATTGATGGTTAAAAATACCCTGCTATTTTCACATGGAGCATTGAAATCTGGGAACAAACTCCACCGCCACCACAGCATTGAATTTGAAAGTGCCACTGCTTGTACTTTCCTTTTTCTTCTCCTCCTCTTTTCAACATCTTCTTTTCCTATGGGATTTACCTGTTCCATTTTTCGACACACACACACACACACACACAAAAAAAAAAAAAAAATATTGTAACCTGAAAAATATTTGCTACGAATCTGTGTTTCAGTACCTTTTGACGGACTTAATTTTACAAGGTTTTAGCTGTAAGACAAATAGAATGATGCACCTGAAGGGGATCAAAACAAAAACATCGCCGATGCCAATCCGGAGCATGCAAAATCTAAGCTAACCTTCAGAAACGACTTCTATGATTTCATACAAGTAGCGAAATTAGGAGTTCTTTCCTCACTTCGAATTTGGATGGTTCATTTCAAGTGAAAGTGCGGTTGCTATACACACCGTTGTTTTTATGCATACATTTCTAATGATTGTACTTACTTGCAAAACTTCGAATTTGATTATTTTCACTTTCTTGGCCTCGGTTTCAGTCTTGTAATGGAAAAAATTGATCCACGCAGGATATCCAGAAAGAAAATTAAAAACATTTCAATTCCTTGTGAACCAGACAACGCAATGTTGGCATAGTATAATAATGACCTATGTTAAGCCGTACATCCATTAATCCAATTTTGCAATGTTCCATTTTCAGTTTATGTCAGTGCCTACAACGGATTGCTTGACATGAGAAAGAAACTCGTGTCCGACAAAGAAAATAAATTTTAGAGTACAGTCAGATTCCCTTAGTTTGTCGACAAAAAATTACACAGTGACTTGATGCGAAAATTTTACTTGCATCGCAAAAAAATAAAAACAAAAATTTTAGGACACTCCACATGACCTTTGACACGTGCGCAAGGCTTATCCAACACGTGCATAAAATGTGTAGAACACGTGCTTGAGGCATGTCAGTCACGTGCATAGCCTGTTAGCCAAAATTCAAAAACTTTCCCAATCTGTTTTTAGAATTCCAGCCAGTTTCTTGATTTCAATGGCCTACTCGCCTAGAATTTTTCAGGTTGGGTTCGAATTTCAGCTTTTCATACAGCTGGTCATTTAAAGTCTCTTTCTAACTGGTTTCTCGATTTTTTCAACTTTGAAATGGGTAAGAAGAAGAACAAGGGTTTGAAAGTCCATCTTCCTTCCAAGCATAGAGATGAAGTTCAAACAAGTGATATCAATGTCTCAACTGATTCTGTTCTTGCTGGAAAAGCGACAAAGGGTGCTGTTCATGTTTCAAGTTTGACAATAAGGGGATTAATCTTATGTCGGTGTGGATAACTTTATCATGGCTGCCATTGGATTGTTGGTATCCAAACACTTTAGGGAAGATTGCCTTCAAAGTTGGAAAACCAATAACTTTGGATAAGGTCACATCAATTAAGGTTCCACTTCTGTATGCAAAAGATCTTCTTGAAATCGATGCTTCTTTGGATTTAGAATTAGACCGGTCGGTCAAGATAAAATTGCCGACTAGAAAGTTGAGAGATCAGCTTGCTTTTTATGAACATGATCCTAAATTTTACTCAACTTCAAAATATTTGGCCACTCAACTCTTGGTTGCAATCCAAAAAAACAGATTGCATGTGATAAAGGTAATCCCAGCAAGATTAACGCACCAACGAACTCTGGCTGTTGCTATTCAAAACCAAAAAAATGGGTAACTTGTGGAGCAGCCAATTGTATCAAGTGTTATTAGCTAGGACAAAGATGGAACAGATGATAAGCATCAAGAAGGTGTGCAAGAAGTTCCATTATGTGAGATGTTTATAAAGAAGAAATACAACAACATTTGAAGGGGATAGATTGCAGGAAAATGTAACCAGCAGAATGGGGTGTCTGACCACGAGGACCACCCAACTGGGAATGGAGATTTTGAAGGCCCTAAGTCGAAGGCAACCTCTAACGAAAAGCTCAAAGGGAAACTCGATGAGCTATGAACTGTAGCAACCAGAAAGGACAAAACGGAGAACTCTGTGCATATTTCTTCAAGAAACTAGCAACGGGATTAGACACTTCATGTTCTTGATTTATCGAAGTTGTAATGTTTGATTCATTTTGAGTCTCTTGCTTTGGGTCATTAGATCTTTTGTAATGTTTGTTTTGTAAGCTTGGATATGTCCGGAGTAATTGTACTTAATTTTTGATTTATATACATTTATTTACCTGATCAAGAAGAATCACATTTGACACCTAAGGAAGGTACAACCCAAGTATGAGATACATTAGCAAGTGTTACAATAATACGTAAATGAGTTTTGAGTAAATGGATGAAAATATTGAGCAAAATCAGCATAATCAACTCAACATTGATTTTGCAATCCCATGTAACTATCGTAAATCTGAATTCCAAAGGAGAGATATAGTCTTAAAGAAGGAATAAGGAGACAAATATTCAAGATCACATGGCCAATATTAATGGAGATCCGTTAAGTAATTTACTGCACCAAAATGGAAAATCTGTAGCCACAAGTAAGAATGCACCAAGCCATACTTTGGGACTCATTCGTAGCTCATGCAAAGAAAGTTCAATCTCATTAGAATAGATCCACAATTCTCTACACAAACCAATCTCTTCATTCCAAAATAGATGTACATCATCTGCATACTCCTTATTTACTTTAAGACTAATTTGGATAGTGTCTTGATTGAATTTAATGTCAGGGATATTGGGAATGAAAGGCTTGAAGTTGATGTTGCACAGCATCCTTCGGGTCCTTGACTAAGAGTTCCAATACAAAATTATAATGCTAGTGTTTGAGATGTAATTTGAAGAGCTTATTTGGAAAGGGGTCTATGTCAGCCTCGCAATCATGTATTTCCACCCACAAGAATGGCCAACAAAGGCGATTTTGTGTTTCATAGAATAATGAACATCCTAGTTGGTTGGAATACAACATATAGCAAAAGATGTTGTATTTTGCTTCTACTGCTGGCTTTAGAGATTATTGGTGGCTCATTTGTTAATGGCGGGTTCTCCAATTAGAAAATAATGAAATTATTGGAAACATGTGGGAACATCAAGTAGTGCATACAATCAGGCTCGAATCCAGTATGAATCTTTCAATAATCGAAAGCAAAGCAGTATATCTTATCTCTTTAAACAATCATATCAGGCTCAAACAAAGTGTCAAATTGATTTGAATGCATCAATTGATTGTATTCGATTTCTTTTATGACAAGGGATGGCCTTTCTTGGACATGATGAATCTAAAGATTCATACAATCAAGGAAACTTTCTTGAATAATTACATTGGTCGTGTGATCATAATGCTAAGACTAAAGCTGTTGCTTTGATAAATGCACCTAAAAATCACAAACTAACATCACCCGAGTTAAGAAACATATTGTGAGTGCTATTGCTTCTAAAACACTAAATTTAATTATCAAAGATATTGGTGATAACTTGTTTTCTATTCCAGTTGGTGAATTTCAAGACATTTCAGTGAAAGAGCAAATGTTAATTGTCATTCGTTATGTGAAGAATGGGCATATATTGGAAAATTATATTATTGTCATGCATGTTACGAGCACCACAGCCATTGCTCTTAAGACTACGATTGATCAAATTATTCTCCACGCATAGCTTAAGTATATCTAATTCGAGAGGTCAAGAATATGATGAAACTAGTAATATGTGAGGTGAGTATAACGGTCTCAAATCACTTATTCTGAAAGAAAACCTAAGTGCTTACTATATTCATTGCTTTGCTTATCAACTTCAACTAGCTCTTATAGTTGTGGCATAAAAAATCCTAAAATTAAAGCTTTCTTGACTTTAGTACAGAGATTGGTGAATATTGTTGGACGAACAGCTAAGCAGAGTGATCTTATTCAAGAGAAACAAAGACTCAAAATTCTTAAAGCACTNAGATTGGTGAATATTGTTGGACGAACAGCTAAGCAGAGTGATCTTATTCAAGAGAAACAAAGACTCAAAATTCTTAAAGCACTCAGTGTTGGTGAAATATCAAGCGGACGGGGTTTCAATCAAGAAACTACTCTTAAACATTCTGGTGATACACGTTGGGACTCTCACTATAGCTATTTGATTAATTAGATTCTCATGTTTTCAACCATTTTTGATGTTGTTGATGTAGCTGCTACTAATACTACAAGTTCGGGAACAAAATGTTATGTGGATATTTTATTGGGGACAATGTTAAAATTTGAATTTACATTTAATTGACATCTCATGTGAATTATCTTGGGAATTTTAAATGACTTGTTGAAAGCATTACAAATTAAGGATCAAGATATTGTCAATGTCATGAGATTGGTAAAATTATGTAAAGTACAGCTTCAACCATGTGGGATGATGGATGGGATTATTTTATTTTATTTTTGTTGAATGATTTGTTCATTCTGTGAAGCTCACGAGGTCAATAGTCTAAATACGGATGATATGTTCATAAATCTAGGCCGTTCACGAGTGCTACAGTGAAGAATTTACATCACTTTCGTTTGTATATGTGTTATGCCATCATTGGCGTGCAATTTTAAAAATTGAATAATCGTTTTTATGAGGTAAATAATGACTTACTACTCTATGTTTAGTGTTTGTGTCCAAATAATATATTTGATGATTTTGACTAGAACAAAGTAATTCGACTCTATGAGTATTATCTAGCATATTTTGATGCAACGGATATCTCGAAACTTGAAGATCAATTAGATACATATATTCTTGATATACATACTGATGATGATTTGAAAGGATTACATGGTCTTAATGATCTTGCACTAAAATTGGTTGCGAAAAATAAACATGAAGTATATCCATTAGTGTACAAGCTTATGAAATTAGCCTTGGTTCTTCCTGAGGCTACTGCCATAGTCGAGAGAGTATTTTCTGCTATGACTTATATCAAAAACCATTTGCACAATCAAATTGGAGATTAATGGTTGAATGATAGTTTCATTGCATATATTGAGAATGATGCATTTGAAAGTATTAAAAATGATGTAATTATAGAACGTTATCAAAGTATGAAAACGCGTAGAGAACAATTGTAATAAGATATCGAAAACATTAATTTTTTGTAACTTTTTTATAAGTTAGATTGTGCCTCATTAACTCCAAATGTTTGCGTCTGCCACTGGTTCAATGTAGGAATATTTTCTTTCTATAGCTGCGTCACTCTTTTCACCACCTTTGTATTAAATAGGTAGTGCAAGTTGACATATGCCTGGTTGACATGACCTGCCCTTCTCTTTTCGCCCTTCGATAAAAATTATTTTATTGGCTTGCCTAGATGCAGCAACTTGAAAAGTGGGCTCTTGAATATTATTTGGTGATTTTTTATCGTCAATGCTTCTCTGTAAATCAAAGCCAAAGTCAATGTGATTAGTGATTCCAACTATTTCATTTACTTTAAGTGGATTTTTCACCTATCCCTGAATTACCACGTGTTGATAAAAAGAAGAAATTAACTGTGAATTTTTGGTTCAAGTCCAAAATTGAAGGATGGGCTCAATCGAGTCTCTGTTCCTATTCCATAACCAATAGCAAAGCTCCAATTTGCCAATTTTTTTTTTTTTTATTTTGTTCCATCTTTGTTTCCAAATGTTGGTTCATGTTGCACCTAGCAGTCAAACTTTCCATCTTGCTTAGTGATCGAAATTTTTTGAAAATTCATTGCCCACTAAGAAAGGAATAACTGTAGCTCCAACAAGCAGAATTGAAGAGACATGTCTCAAACCCATAACACCATAATCTTCAGAAGATACTCTTTGCTTCAAAAGCATTGAGAATATACCAAATGCTTCCAAACGCAATTTCTGATAGCATGTGCAAGACCTCATTAGTAAATTAGGTCAGTGTTGGACACAAAAGGACACGAACATGTAAAGATCCTCAACATCACTTGGCTAGAGGAATTGTGCATTTTCAACAATTTTTTCTTGGGTCTTGTGATCAATGAACCAGCAACAGTTATAATCAAATCAACATGCGGATCATCAACTCGCTTCAGCCTAATCTTGGCACTAAAATGCCTCGCTTCTTTAAAGTACTCCTCAGAAAGGCATCTCAATTCCAATTTCTCGAACAGGAAGTTGTATGAAAATTCTATAAGGAGACCTCCATCCTCATTAGCACAAATTTTCTCAAGTAGTCTTTCAAACTAATTTGCACTATGATTAGATCACAAAAACCCTGTGAAGAGATTTTATAGGGCTTATCCCACTTTTTTCTCCAACTTGCTGCTTCATCGCCCTTAGGTATGGGTTTAGCAAAGACCAGCTTTTCTAATTTTTGTATATTTCTTCACAGTTTTCCAAGGATATCAGTTTGATTCCAAGAGCAACATCAAGCATTCTTCCTATAGATGTTCCACAACTAAGGTAAAAAAGTTCATGTATCTACTTTACAATTAGGGGTGGATTTAGAGGCCGGCGAGCTAGGGCCGCCTCCCTAGTTGGATTCATCGGGGAGAATTTTT